GACTTTTACACTGAACAGTATTAACCATAGCTGGGAATACCTGTGTTTTGCATCATCCCGACAGAAGTTACCTCTGAAGTCTTTGGTGGATACTTGATGATGAGTGTGGCTTGTGGGCTACTATTGCAAGAGGTTCAGAAATTGTATGTAATGCGACAGTCACCGCCTCTGTTCAGAGATCTGTGTTTTCTGACAGGGCAGCAGTGGCTGTGCAATTTTTGATTGCACAAGGCACTGTTAGAGCCCCACTGACTTAAATGCCTCCTACTTGCTTGCCAAGTCCTGGGCACAGTGTCTTTCTGAATGTCTTATATTCTCTTCTAGATTTTTTTTTTCTCCTGAAGAGAATGGGTTGTGGGGCCACAATTCCCTACTGGAATGGATATTTCTGAGAGTCCATTGCATGCCGTTTATTTTATTAGCTGTCCCTTTAACTTCTGGAATGCACTGTATAATGCTGCTGTTTTGAACACAGTGGGGAAGAAAACAACAGTTCAGTCCTATCAGAGGAATACTTGAGCGACAATGGATGCCTGCATTGTTGTTTCTTCTGTGTGGGCAGATGTATCCCTGGTTTTATTCTGAAAATAAGAGGAGGTCTGTAAATAGATTTATGTAACTTGTATTATAGTTAAATATGTATAATTTTGAGAGAGCTTAAATATGAAATTGACATTTCATGTACAATAATGACACTTTTATTGATGTTCTAGAATTGAATCTTTATTGCTTTAACGAAAAGATGCGTAAGTTATATGGACAATACGGCATGATGGCTTTTAAGCATCTTAAGTAGAACACAGCTATTTTAGTTTATAAATGAGCATAACTGCTGCACAATGATGAGAAGAAAGTGCATATCCTTTGGTTTTTCAAGAGCAAAAAGCTGCTGGTACAGTAGTGTTAAAGATGTTATAGCATCAGTAAGGAAATCTCATCAACGACCTGGATGAAGAGTTAGAATGTACCCTCAGCAAGTTTGCTGACGACACCAAACTGGGAGGTGTGGTAGATACACCAGAAGGCTGTGCTGCCATTCAGCGTGACCTGGATAGGCTGGAGAGCTGGGCAGAGAGGAACCTGATGAGGTTCAACAAGGGCAAGTGCAGGGTCCTGCACCTGGGGAGGAACAACCTCATGCACCAGTACAGGCTTGGGGTGGACCTGCTGGAGAGCAGCCCTGCGGAGAGGGACCTGGGTGTCCTGGTGGACGACAGGTTAACCATGAGCCAGCAGTGTGCCCTGGCTGCCAAGAAAGCCAATGGGATCCTGGGGTGCATCAAGAAGAGTGTGGCCAGCAGGACGAGGGAGGTTCTCCTTCCCCTCTACACTACCCTGGTGAGGCCTCATCTGGAGTACTGTGTCCAGTTCTGGGCTCCCCAGTTCAAGAAAGATGAAGAGCTACTGGAGAGAGTCCAGCGGAGGGCTACAAGGATGGTGAGGGGACTGGAGCATCTCCACTACGAGGAGAGGTTGAGGGAACTGGGCTTGTTCAGCCTGAAGAAGAGAAGGCTGCGAGGGGACCTTATAAATGCCTACAAATATCTGAAGGGTGGGTGTCAGGAGGATGGGGCCAAGCTCTTTTCAGTGGTGCCCAGCGACAGGACAAGGGGCAATGGGCACAAACTGAGGCACAGGAAGTTCCGTCTGAACATGAGGAAGAACTTCTTCCCTCTGAGGGTGACGGAGCACTGGAACAGGCTGCCCAGGGAGGTTGTGGAGTCTCCTTCTCTGGAGATATTCAAGACCCGCCTGGACAAGGTCCTGTGCAGCCTGCTGTAGGTGACCCTGCTTCGGCGGGGGGGTTGGACTAGATGACCCACAGAGGTCCCTTCCAACCCCTACTATTCTGTGATTCTGTGAAATCTGAAAACATGCAATTGGAAGAAGAAATGTAAGTGGATTAGGCATGTGGCAGTCTCTAAAATTGTTCATTCCTTTGACAGCTCTGAGTCACAGTGCTTGGAGATACTAATTAGATACAGAACTGAAAACAGGGGTCTAAAATGACTACCAAATACAGATCTTCCTATCCTAGCCTTCCGCCTCTACCACGTTCCTCTAAGCAGGAAAAAGAATTACCAGCTTTATGTGAAAAAGAAGGGAATATACACTGATAGCCTTTCCTTGACACTGAGATGAATCCAATAGAACTGAGTATTTTGAGGGTTCTCGAGAGACCACATTACTTAGCGTTTTGTCCAAGTTCAGTTCTGTTTAGCTCTTAAGTATGAGGGAATCTGTTTAGCTGCAAAGATAAGTAGGAAGCAATTTTTGAAATGAAGCATTGTTAAATCTTTCTTTAGTTGTGTTTGTGTGTGTGTCTGTTTTCTGTTACAAAAATGGGTATGTTGAAAACTACAGTAAAGATGAATTAAAGTCTCTGTTCTTATAAGAGACTAATCCCATATGTCATAAAATGTTTTACTGTTAGCCTGAGCATGGCATCATTCTGCAACGTTAGAATCACTTTCAGAACACTCCAGGCTTCCCCATTCAAGATCTATATACCTCCTAAGTGCAGCTTCCATGGGAGATAAATACTGTGGGGTAATTCGGGACCCAGCTGTGTTAGTTTGTCTTGGGTCTGGGATGTTAATGGTAGTGTAATTATAGGCAGGGATATAGTTACCACAGCCACTTCTCAAAGGGGAAACTGACTCTTGATATCAATTCTTTCTTAAATTTGGAGGCTGGTGTTAGTGTGCTTGCTTGCTTATACCAGAATGTTGGATACTGGATTATATATCAATAATATTTCAGTTTCATAGCTGAATACTGAAGGAATATTCATGAAACTGCTTCTTGAAGACGTGGCCATTTTTGTACTAAAAAGCTGAATGCTATTCTGAAAGCTGTTTGCCAAGGATTTTCAGCAGGCCTTAATCTTAACATTTTCCTGTAGCTTGTTCTTTTTCATGTTTCAGAAGTAAACTGGTTATTTCAGGTCATGAGAAAATCTTAAATTAGGTGTTGTATTTCTTTTTCAAAGTATGGGTTAGTGTGGGGTTAGACATGTGAGTGTGTGGGGGGTGCGTGTAGATTATCATGTTACCTGCTATCTCCTTCTTTCTTTTCCAAGATTCAAAACAAAACAAAAAAAGTGCAGGAGTTAGGTGCTACTAATGCTTTACAGTCATCTTGGTGATTTGTGGGTAAGGGTGATAGATCAAATACCCTATACTTAAATATATGACCGAATCACAAAAACCACAGGAACAAGATAAACTCCAAAACAAAAGGCATAATATGATGTCAAAAAACTCATGTTAACTTTAAATGATTTCATTTTCAAGATACATGTTTTTTTAACATCTGCTTTTAATAATAGGCTCCCTTTAAAGCATGAAATTCCCCAGATGAAGAATATGCAGTGAGTTTCGTTATAGGTGGAGCCTGCTGCTTGGCTGGCCACTCATTGTCACGGAGTCTAAATATTACCAGGGGAAACAGTTTTTTTGCTGATGTAATTAATGCTCTAGAGTGTACCGAGGTTTATTCCAGTGCAGTAAGAATAAAGAATATAACCTGTTTGATGTGCATTTACCCACCAGTCGTACCGCTGCCATAACAGACTGCAGTTGCTCTTTGTCTTCCGCATGCCACTGCCTTGCACAGAGCTGCCTTTCGTACTCCTGGTTCCAGGTGGTGTTCTTTCAACTCCTGTCTGCTCTCCTGCTCAGACTGCATTCTCCTTAATGTTGTTGTGATTTGGGTTTTAAACAGCTGGTAACGTGCAACACTTTACTCCTGTTCTGGTTTTCAGGGTGTGCACAGCCTTTGGAGTTAGTTCATGTCAGTGTGCACCCTGTACGCTTTTCCTCACAAGCCCTGACAGAGAAGCATCAAATTTTTTGTTCAGCTAGGGGCAAAAAAGTCTGCTAAGCATCAGGACAAAGTGTTTTTTTGAGTATTTCTCAAGGAGTGTATTACTATGAATTTAGTCATTGCGACAGTTGTGTAGAAGTTGATTGCTAATGAGTAGGCAGTCATGCTGGAGATGAGGGAGCCATAGTCCACTGAATCTAACTCTGCTGAGTATAGCAAGGTGCTAACGCTGAACCAACTGCAGCTTTCCATTGCACCAGCGTGCTCCTCCTGAAGACTGAACCCTGTTGTCGGTCCAGAGTAGAAGGCACACATGCAACTGTCATTCCTTTTCCAGACCTTGTTTTGCTGTGATCACATGGAGTACAGAAGGTTAACTGACCTCTGTTTTCTGAGTGTCTTGCTAGATCCAGCTTGGAGGTCTGGTAGAGGAAATAGGCCAAGTCCTGGGAGTTCAGAGCGGGTGGAGGAGTCATTACTTTAGGAAGTTGTGTCCTTTCACTGATTCAGCTGATGAGAAGGAGCAAAAAGACTTGGTGGATTAAGTTTGGAAAGATTTAAATGTAGAGTGGTCATCTTTTCTTTCAACAGTGCTAGGAATGTGCCACCTGAGTAGTTGATTGTTTTAAAGACAAATGTGGGGGATAAAAGCTCAGTAAAACTAGTTGCAGTCTGCAAAGGTCAGTCTCTTAACCTGTTACTCTCTGCAAAGTGTGAGCTGGGAAAAGCCTTAAAAATGTAAAGTTTTGGCTGGCCTGTGTTGTTAGGGTGGAGTGTAAACCAGCTGAGGCACCTCATTGCTTAGCTGCATGATGTATGTGATGGAGGTCCCATGGGGCCAGTGCAGCTACAGAACAGAAACCAGGACTAGACAGATGAAGGAGAACATTTTTAAATGTAGTAAGAACAAAAGGTTTTCTTTCTGCACTACTCTTCTACAGAGTTTGTGTTAGAGATCATCTCCAGCTAGCGCCTGGCTTGAGCCACTGAGTCCTTGGGAACCTGTGCCGCACAGCTTGCAAATTACTTCTGTGCAGCTTTCTCTGTGATGTTGCTTTGGTTTGGGCTTTTGTTTCAGCTTTCAATGGTGATAAATGTGTGCAGAATCATTCAAGACAGCCTGGACATGGTGCTGGTACTAATATTTTGCCCTTATTTTTCATTTACTCCAGACCAATGAGTGGAATAAGAATGATGATCGGCTGCTGCAGGCGGTGGAGAACGGTGATCCTGAGAAAGTGGCTTCCTTGCTGGGTAAAAAGGGAGCCAGTGCTACCAAACAAGATAGTGAGGGCAAAACTGCGTAAGTACAACTTGAACTTGTCAGTTAAGTGCATGAGAGGGGAAAAAAATCAGCATTGGATGTGTATGCCACCTTCAGGAATTAAGAACCAGAGACCATCCTGAAAATGAGGTTTTCTTTTTCATCTGAAGCACAATACATTCTGGAAAACTCCTTTCTGGTATTCTGTGTTTGCAGTGCTACATTTAAAATTCCATTTCAGAATCACAAAGCCATTGAGGTAACTGAGGTAACTCGAAGCTGGATTGCTGGATAGATTGGGGTCATTTTGGGACAGGGTATTTTGGGGCTCAGGAACTTCATGGTACACTGCAGTCTGCACAGTGCAAAGGGCATTAATCTTTGGGACTATTTTTTCCCATGGATATTAGTTTAATGACACAGAAATGAAGATATATTTTTCTTTCTAATGAGTTAGTTTGAGCTGAAACTACGGTGATTGCGTTTTAAAACCTTGCAGATGCTAATGATTCGTGCAACTGTTCCTTGTTTAAATTGATGTTTGACAATGAAACTTTTGTGTGAACAAGATGTCTTGTGCAGTCTCAGTAAATTTTACAGATAGCATTTTCTTCTTCTATTCTTCCTCTCGTTCTCCTGTGAACATTCTGAATTGTGGAAGGTAAAAGATTCTAGTAAGAAAATTACAGCCAAGTGATTGCTATCCCTAGACTTTCTTATGGCCTACAAAGATGATTAAAAGGATAAATGGGAAAAAGGCATCCTGTGACAGAACCAAAGGCTTCATAAAATTCTGGATAGATAGGAAGAAGGGAAAACAATTTCTAGTCTTGGGAGAGATAGCGCAAGGCAATATATACCAAATAATAAGTTCTAATGAATTACCTCTGGGTTACATTTACTGAGTCACGCTCTGCTTCTTGTTTGGTTGTTTGTTTCCTACATCTGCTCTATTTCTGTTCTGCATCTGAGGAAACTGAATGATGGCTATGACTCATAATGGCCTGCAGCTTCTTACTGCAGAAGTCCAAGTCCTCTAAGTACTTCAAGTGGGCTTTCTTCACATTTTAATATGTTTTTAATTTTAAAAAGTTGCATATGCATATTTTTCTTTTGAACATAATCAAAATGTGACTTCATTGAATCTTCTGAATTACAGCTATGCCTAGCATCTCATGTTTTTATAGTCAACATAACTTCAGAACTAGATTCTTCAGCTGCATTGTATCCAATGTTACACCTATTTTGCAAGTTTCATATATAGTTTGATACTATGAATTTTTGTAGGGAACCAGCTAATACTGAAATTATCAATGAGTACCCAAAAGCCTCTTAACTCAGAAATAAGATTGTTGTAACTGTAGGGATCTGGTGCAGAGATTTTCAGCTTTACAGGGAAACACTACAAAATTCCCCTCTTTTCCTCTTTATTTGCAACTACAAAGAATGTGATGACCATGTATTTATATTAATGATGCAGTTACTAATAATGCAGATACAAGTACTTCCTTTAATTGCTTGGAACAAATGTGAATTAATGCTATGAAGAACTCTGCTTTTGCTTGTTTCGTATGCTCACTTAATTGTCATTTACTTTCATAGATACTTCTGTGTAGCGGTTTAAAAGAAAGCTTGCAAGAGAACAAGGAATAATAGTATTGCTGTGATGCAGAAAATACAGTGTGTCAACTCTCATTCTGTTCCCAGTGCATTGGGAAACTTAGCGGACCTGCTCAGGTTATTTCTTTCTCAGTTTTGAAAGATGGAGACTGACAGGTGCAGAAACAGTGACACTGATCTGGAGAGATGTAACTACCAAAGAGTATCATGACCCAGAAAAGTTGTCCAGTATGGCTTATTAATAACGGGCACTGTTTTGATTACATTTTTGCCTCTTCATAGTCTTTTTTTAGTGTGTGCAAAATGAAGTACGGCCATTATTTCTGCATAGGTAGGCTTGTTTCTTCTATGTTTGCAGTGTGATGACAGGGCTTCATTTCTGCACAGTAATCCTGGGTGCCCAACATAGCTGTTTCGCCCTACCTCAGAAGCTCTGCTTAGAGGCACAGACCCTACTGCAGTCCTGCACGGAGGTCTGTTAGCGTCCTGCAGAAGCGTCGCTACCTCATCTGTAACATGGGAGGCTCTCATGCTGGGAAAGTGCAATCTGGTGAGGTCTTCTTGGGACAGCTGGCCACCATTGTGCTCAGATTTGAGTGGCTGCATTTTAGGAAGTAGTCTGCAGTGCCATGTGAGAAGGGAGCTCTTTGGATGCATGGTTTATTGATCCCTGTGAGTATGTATTGATGCATTTGTTTACATAATTAGGCTGAATATGACTAACTAGAACATGATGGATTTAATTATGTAACAACATGCACAATATGATTAATGACTTTGGAATGTGCTTGAAAGTAAAAAAGAAGAAACAATTACAAGTTGCAGTACAGGTTTGTGAGGTCTGTCATTGTCTCTTCCCTTAAGCTGTGACATGTTTCTTTTAAGATCTTTTCTTTTTCATTTTTTTGTTAATAACCCTACAAATAAAATTCTCTGTACTGCCTGGATCTTCATTTGAAGTACAGTAATATAGTGCATTATTTTGAAAAGAAGGTGGAGAGGATTCTAATTTTTCATGCTTAAAGGGGTACTTTGAAGTTTTTGTTTTATAATCAAATGGCTTTTTAATATAAAATACTTGAACTGAGAGGAACAGAGACCAGGACACAGGATTTTCTGTGTTTGTCCTGTTGAGTAGTGTATGCATCATTCCACTGAGACCTGCTACAATGTGCTCCAGCTCTGGCTTGGTTTTCGACATAACCACCTAAATTCCACCTGTGTCCTCTTTTTGCGTATGTGCTACTGATCCTTTTCTTCGTGGCTTGCTCACATGCAACAAAATTAATGAGGTCTAGGTACCAGTAAATTTCTTAGAGGTAATATTTACAGATTTTCATTGGGAGTTTTTACTCTCCAGCAGTACATATGTAAAAAATTATAAAAAAAAATATCATCAGAGTAACGAAATTAGTTTCTTAAGGCTTGCCTGACTTTCCACACCACCACCCTGTCTCCGACTCAGTCTTTTCTATAAACAATAAATCAATTTTAAGGCCATGGAGCAAATCCACCTTCGGCGTAAGTTGACACAACCCCATTGTTGCTCCCACTTACACAGCACAGACTATCCCTAGGCGCACTTGTAATAGAACCTATCTGGAAATCTGACTCTGCCATTGTAGTCTTATTCTGCCAGAGAGCTGGGGTTTTTTTGTCCAGCTTCCTTAAACAACAAACCAGTGCTTTCCAGTTTGGAATCTGATCATTTAAATACCACTTAAACTGACAGCAACAGTTTTCAAAGAGAGCTTTT